TCCTACATACATCAATTTGAATAGGCCTGTCAGATGAATTCTTACAAGGGGACCTATCAGACCCCTAAAGAACTTTGGCTTGCAAATGTGTGAAGAGCATGTCCTATTTTTTTCATTTTACAAAAAGTGCAGTCCTGTTACTTCCTGGTTTGGTTAACTAATTTAAGAGGCAGGTAATTGCCAAGAGCACCTGTCTTGTACAGACTCCTCATTGAGCTGCACTGGGAAGTCTGTGAATGGACAGCCACAAAAAGTTTAGTTGTGGTTACAAAAAGAGGGCTTGCAAACTAAATCAGACAAGAGAAATGTAGGTTTTGCAAGCTGTTTTAGCTGCAACCCAATTTAAAAAAAAAATGCATAAATAAATGCATGCAAGTTTTTATATGGGGTTATATCTACTAAACTTTAATTTGTATTCATTTTGTAATTTGGTAGTGGAGTGTCCCCTTTACTAGAATTATTAATTGGCATCTGCTTATTTTCATTATTTAGATAAAGACAGATATTGACCCTCTGTACTGAAGTTGAATGTGCTGCTTCCCTTATTTATTGTTGTAAGCTTCTGGCAGAATCTGGATTCCCTTTTTTTTTTGTAATTGAAATTGTAAGATGGACTTTTGGCCTGTCTGCAACATGGAAAGTTTATATAGTGCATGGGTTATTTATTGTGAAACATGTGGATATCCCCTGCTTCTTGGATTTTTAATGATTGCATGTATAGAATAACCTGTCTGTTCATTTGCCTGTTGTTGGTATCTGTGGAGGGCCTGCAGTGCAGAGTCTTGGTGTTATGTTGCTATATATATGCAGTTACAGCCCCCATGATTCTGACTGCTTTGCAATACTCATTTTCCAAGGAGCATCCAGTTAGGACAAAGAGTGCTCCCAGGAAAGACATCTGCATGTAGCACTGATAAGTTAAATGGAGAACAGTTAAATATAACTTCAATATTTAAATGAAAGCTACGTGTGTACTTCCTCATAGGCACACATGCCAGATTGTGGATGGGTCAAGTAAGGGGCCCCAGGGTCTCCAACAGTGATCATGCCAGTATGCTGTGGCATTGAAGAAAATAAAGCTGCAATTGTATTTAGATTGTCATATTACCAATGCTTAAAAAAACGAAAACAAAATAATCTTTCAGAAAACATTGTAATCACTCAAACTGTTTTAGTGGTTTGAGTTCTTACCTGGGGACTGGTGTCCACTGGACACCACAAGGTGCCTCCTTTACAAGTCACTAAAACAGAAGCTCGTGCTCCAAAGCTTCTATTGGCTCCTGTGAGCTAAGCGATGCATGCAGGACTAGCGCACTGGCTGAGAATGTCAGCTGATCGTTCCCAGCCAATGAGCTAAGCCTTGCACACCTGGCTTAGTTTAGTGAAGAGAGCTTTCAGCTCTCAGTGAGCAGCAGTGGAGCCAGGGAGTGATGTCTGGTAGGCCCCAGGTATACAGTCAAACCATTCTAAAATAAACTTTATGGTGTTTATGGTAGTTGGAGTTTTCTATAAAGAGGCTACTTTATAAGATTTTGATCTAGGTTTGAAATATTCATTTTACTTTCCAAAATGTCTGAAAATTTTCTGGCTTGGGTTCGACAATGTGCTATACTCATTCTTTTTTTTTTTTTTGGCCAATCAGACTCTATAGCTTCATATCTTTTGTCCATATATTATAAGCACCCATTTTCATTTCACCTCATCCAAATAGTTTTCTGTTAGATAGGGATATGTTGATTTAGCCAGCCAGTGGAGTGAACTGAAATCTTTAATTATGTTTGTAGAACCAATCTGAGATGATGTGTGTTTTGTGACGTAGCATATTATGTAACATAGATAAATTCATGCATATTAAATAAATGCATGTTAAATAAACATAATTTGCAAAAAATTCTTTATAATACTTTTTTTTTCTAGAGAACACTTAAACCTCTTAAAGATCACATGGCACACTATGCTGTAATTCCTGTATGGCGTTTAAAGATCCATGTCATCATGGATTGTCCTGCTTATTTAGTATTGGCGGCTCCATGCTGCTCGTTTTGGAAGAGGATCTTTAACAAAATAGATTGTTATGATAACATAGACCCAGGGGCGGACTGAGAACCCTCAGGGCCCCCGGGCAAAATAAATCAAGGGCCCCCTTACAGGCCCCACCCATACTCTGCAGCAAGCGCCACCCTTGTCCCGCCTCCATTCACCGCCTCCAGCCACACCCTACACAATCTTTAGACACAAGGAACAAAAGGGCAATAAGCCCTTCGAGGCCCCAGCAGAGACTACAATTGAGGGCTAATGGGCCATGGAGGGGGGTCTTTCTAGCGGAGGCTATCTCAGTGTCCTTTAGAGAGTGTGTTAGAAAGAATCCCCTCAAGGCCCCATTAGAGACTACAATGGAGTCTAATAGGCTTGGAAGGGGGTCTTTCTAACAGAGGCCATCTCAGCGTCCATTAGATATCCCCTGCTGGAAACAGTCGCCTCCAGGCCCCAGTAGAGACTACAATTGAGGGCTAATGGGCCATGGAGGGGATTTCTAGCAGAGGCTATCTCAGTGTCCTTTAGAGAGTGTGTTAGAAAGAATCTCCTCCAGGCCCCATTAGAGACTACAATGGAGTCTAATGGGGCCTGGAGGGTGGTCTCTCCAACACTCTGGTTCCTATTCACAATATAGCAACACAACATAGCTCACTGATACCTAGGCCAAGTTGGCTCCTCTTACCTTAATTACTGTTGGTGGCTGGCAGTCTGTGGGCTTGCTGGCTACTGCCGGCAGTCTGTGGGCTTGCTTGCTGCGGCTGGCAGGCTGTGGGCTTGCTGGCTACTGCCGGCAGGCTGTGGGCTTGCTGACTGCGGCTGGCAGGCTGTGGGCTTGCTGACTGCCTGGCAGGCTGTGGGCTTGCTGCTGCGGCTGGCAGGCTTGCTGGCTGCGACTGGCAGGCTGTGGGCTTGCTGGCTGTAAGCCTGTGGCTTGCTGTAGGCCTGTGGGCTGGCTACTGGCCTGTGGGCTGGCTAACTGGCTGGCTACTGGCCAGCCTGTGGGCTGGCTAACTGGCTGGCTACTGGCCAGCCTGTGGGTTGGCTGGCTGGCTACTGGGGCACTTGTAGATTATTTAAAGAAATAATCCATGCACAATAACCACTACTGCTCCAGAGTAAGTAGTCAAACCATTTAAGAACAGTTTGACAACTTACCTGGGATCTGCTGGGATATGGGGCTGTAGTAGGGAATAGGAGCAGTGGTGCAATGTGTGTGAAAGGTTCAGTGTGTGTGGGGGTGTAGTGTGTGAATGTGTAGGGTGTGTGGGCTGTGTATGTGTGTGGCAATGTTAGTATGGGGGGCTGTGTATGGGGGTCTGTGTGTATATGGGTGGGCAGTGTATGTGTGTGTGTGAGGCAATGTGTGTAAATGTGTATGGTGTGTATGGGGGCAGTGTGTGAATGTGTATGTGTGTGTGTGTGTTTATGGGGCTAGAGTTCACTCTCACCACTGCGACCACCAGGAATCCCTGGGGGTCACAGTGTTGAGAGTGAACACTAGACCGTAGCTCCAGGGCTAGAGTTGACTCTCGCAAGAGCGGTAACGTTGCCATGGTAATCGCGGCAACGCTCTGTGCTCGTGCAAGAAGGACCCAGAGGAGCTGCAGGGTGAGCTCCCAGGTCCTCTCTTCCTTCCTCCCCTGCCCGCACGGTGCCTGCGGACAGGGGAGGGGGAGCAATTGCCCTGTTGCCCCCCTGGATCCACCAGTGATATATACAGCCCTTCTGTGTGCCTTTTTGTCTCCCCCCGTCCCTCTGTATGTTTCTTTCTCCCCCCTCCTTCCCAGTCTCTCTTACCCCTCTGCCTCTTTCTCCCTCTCTTCCACTGTTTTTCTCCCCCCTTTCCCTGTCTCTCTCTCTCTCCCCCACATCTCTCTTCCTCTCTGTCTCTTTCTCCCCCTCCCCATCTCTTTCTCCCCCTGTGTCTCATTCTTCCCTCTCTGTCTCTTCTATTCCCCCTCTTTCTCCCAGTGTCTCATTCTTCCCTCTCTGTCTGTCTCCCCCCTCCCCATATCTCTGTTCCCCCCTCTTTCTCCCCATATCTCTGTTCCCCTCTTTCTCCCTTATCTCTGTTCCCCCCCTCTTTCCTATCCCCATATCTCTGTTCCCCCCCTCTTCTCCTCCCCATATCTGTGTTCCCCCTCCCTCTCCCCATATCTCTGTTCCCCCTCTTTCTCCCCCCCTCCCCATATCTGTTTTCCCCCTCCTCTCCCCATATCTCTGTTCCCCTCTTTCTCCCTCTCCCCTTATCTCTGTTCCCCCCTCTTTCTCCCCCATATCTCTGTTTCCCCCCTCTTTCTCCCCTCCCCATATCTCTTTTCCCCCCTCCCTCTCCCCATATACTCCTGTTCCCACCTTTTCTCCCTCTCTATATCTCTGTTCCCCCTCTTTCTCCTCTCCCCATATCTCTGTTCCCCCCTCTTTCTCCCCCCTCCCATATCTCTTTTCCCCCCTCCCTCTCCCCATATCTCTGCTCCCCTCTTTCTCCCCCACTCCCCATATCTCTTTTACCTCCTCTCCCCATATCTCTGTTAACCCCCCTCTTTCTCCCCTCTCCCCATATCTCTGTTCCCCTCTTTCTCCCCATATCTCTGTTCCCCCCTTCTCCCCCTCCCCATATCTCTTTTCCCCCCCTCCCTCTCCCCATATCTCTGTTCCCCCTCTTTCTCCCTCTCCCCATATCTCTTTTACACCTCCCCTTACCCCTGCCATATCTCTGTTCCCCCCCTCTCCCTCCCCATATCTCTTTCCCCTCCTCTTCCCCATATCTCTGTTCCCCCTCTTTCTCCCCCCTCCCCATATCTCTTTTCCCCTCCCTCTCCCCATATCTCTTTTCCCCCCTCCCCATATCTCTGTTCCACCCCTCTTCCCCCTCGCCAAGTCAGGGGGCGGCCGTTCATGCTGCAGCCGCCGGCCGGTAGCAGCCCAGCTTCAGTCGGTGGCGGCATTCCTCTGACTAACACTGAGGAGGAGGAGGAGCATGTGTCTGTCATGCTCCTTTGCGGTTCCCACATCCTGTGCTGGGAATTGTGGGAACCGCAAAGGAGCATGACAGACACATGCTCCTCCTCCTCCTCTAGCGTTAGTGAGAGGAATGCCGCCGGACCGGCAAGGCTGCCACCCGGTCCGGCGGCTGCAGCATGAAACGCGGCCGCCCCCTCACAGTGTGCCACCGGACCAGCCACCCGGTGGCACCTTCCGCAGTCCCCAAATGCCGCCCCCAATCCAGCCCTGCCGCCGGGCCCCCTGAAGGCGGCCCTGGCGGCGGGCCCCCCTCCCGGCCGGGCCCTCGGACCGTGTCCGAAGTGCCCGACCGGTCAGTCCGCCCCTGCATAGACCATTATTGATCCTTAAGAGGTTAAATTTATTAAGCAAAAATAGTTTAGATCTGCTAAAATCTTACTTAGTTCTGCAGTTTCCCCTTCCACTTTACTAACGGATCGTGAGTGGCTGGTTGGAAAGATATTGGGAGAGCAGACATGTCAAGATTTTTGTTTTGTTTTGTAAAGGCTTGTTTTGTTAATGCCATATCATAAGTCTGCATGCACGTGAGCAACTTTCAATGGAGGGTGTTCCTTATTGTTTTGTTGTGTACATATCATTATCATCATTAGGCACAGAACATGATGACCTAATTATACGCATATGTACGCAACTCACAAACTGAAACCACATGCAGTTTCTCTTGTACGGTAGCTTAAGAGCCAAAAGAGAGTTCCATTAATTCTCTTTTTTGTGCAGTTGCACATATGCAAAGATACACTAATGACATGATTGGAAGAGCTGAAGATTGGGCCAAAGACATAGATGGTGATATGTATACAGCTACCTCCTATCCCTTTACTGAGAACCCTCCACCCCCAAAATAATGCATATAACCCACAAATTAAAATTTAACTTTAAGGCAGGGCTGAGATATTCAAATATTACATGCATACCTATAGGGTACATGTTTTCTAAGTTGCCCAAAGGCTCCTCAACTGACATGTAAAAATATAAATGAACCACCAATGCTCTTACAACTTTTTACAGTGGTTTTGGTGCTAAGAGGTGATAGGTGCAGTCCCTCTGATTTTTGTCAAACTATTTTAAAACTGTACCTTTGTACCTTGAGCCTGCCCAAACTGCATGGGACAAAATAACATGACAGCTTTGGTAAGGTGTGGTGGAGCCCAGTAATCTAAGAATTAACACTAGCACACTAATGTAACATATCTGGCTTTTAGTTTATATTTTGTCTTTTTTATTATCCTTTTTTTCGGGCAATAGTTTAGGACTTTTTTATTTGTTATGTATATTTTGGGTTTTTTTTTCAGTGTGTCCTTGAAAGACTCCTTGTCTTGATACCTGGTACACACTTTAGAAACATATTAGGATTTATGTCCTTCGTACTTTCTGATGTTGATCTCAAAAACTCTCTGGGAAATGTAGAACCTACTTACTGAAAACTAAAAGTAGAGTGTACATCAATGCATATCTAGAACAATTCTTTGCAAAATGCTAAATTTGTAGTCCTTAGTCGAATAACTTCATTGTTTTCTGTGATGATTGTTAACAATGCAGCATTTTCATTTTGATTGGCAAAACTGAACATAATGCGGTTTGTTTACATGCGGGACACAAAAGTACATACATAAATAACACATGCCTTATAAATAAACACACACAATTAACAATCATTAATTCATTCCTAATTTTTTTGAAAATACATATTAATATATACATGACTTTAATCTACATAATGTTTGTTTGCTTCAGGGACTGACAGGACCAGGAGGATCACCGGGTCCAGTTGGACCACGGGGGCAAAAGGTAATTTTCAGAGTTCATTAAAAGATTTGTTCATGGGGCAAACTCATATTTGGCTGCGTACCATGTCATGATACAATTCTGTTATCTGCAGGTGTAGCCTTTAATATCACTATGTTCTACATGTTTCCAATTTTTGACTTATTAAAATGTTTGATATTTCCAGGGTGAACCAGGACTGCCAGGCTCTCGAGGATTATCAGTGAGTAACTGACCAAAATATCTGATTGCTGTATTTCCTGTTGTTTTAGGGGGGTTGAATTTTTTTCTTTGCAATCATCCTGATTTAAGGACAGAGGAGGGTGTGTAGCACGAGATGAACCAATAGTGACTTCAGGGCAAATTTTCACCTACAATTAATATTTTGTGTTTGGCCAGATGAATGCCAGACCCTCCCTAGTATATAACTTATAGGCAATCAGAAACAAATCACATAAGTAAGTCAAGGTTGGTCAGTAGTCACCTACTCAAACCTTAACAACAATAAGTCTTTAGGTTAAGGTTAGGCTTTAACCCCTTAAGGACACATGACATGTGTGACATGTCATGATTCCCTTTTATTCCAGAAGTTTGGTCCTTAAGGGGTTAAAGAACATTGAGCATCAAGACAGTCATAAATTTATGATGATATGAACTGATATGCTGATGTGAACGGGGCAGAGCAGAATCAGAAATGTGTACAAGAAATATGAAATTCTTAACAGAATCCGCATGTAGCTGAGATCAGGTGTAACTAGGACAGAAATATAGCTAGCTGATGTCAGGAAACATATAATGGGTTTTGACACGGGTCAGAGTAATTCTAATGAAATCAAAGCAAAGGTATCATGACTAAGACTGAAGCATCATAGATTTTACTGTGTATGAATCCCTATCAAAGCTATTTTCGCAGCATTGTTTCAATGGCCTGTTCCTCACTTTCATTTAGACAGAACTTGGGGGGGAGAGGGAGGGAGAGAGATTACGAGTTTTGTTAATGTCTGTTTCTCCAATGTGGCACTTGTCTACTATTGGAAGGATGAGAATAAGAGGCAATAAACAAGAACGATAAGACTGCAGATGATGGAAACAACACAAGAAAAAAAACACAACAGGGGGAGTTAAAAAGTCTCTTACTACCATTGTTCAAATAGTAACGAGTGACAGCATTTGCCTTTTTCCAACCTGTTTGACCTTATTCTTATTATTATTCCGACTGTGGAAAGACATACTTCTCATACTCCTCTATTAAAGCAGCAGACTACTAAAAACAATGGGAACAGTCTTGTCAGAACGTGCTGCCAATAACTAGAAATGGAAATTATTAAAACTAAAGTCCAAAACATCTCCATGATTTCCAAATAAAACCTCAATGCATCATTTGACTAAATAATACAAATATATAGTGCTAGACAAAACAATTAGTGATAAATTCTCCCACCGCCCCCCTGCCCCCCCCAACAAAAATTTATAAATAACAAAGTGAATGTAGGTAATAGGAGTAGTAGGTTATATAAAATAGCAGTTATAAGTTGTGCCAGGTTAATTGATAGTATATACCATATGTGACACATTCTGTTACTAAATGATGTAACTAATATACATTGTATCTACTGTAATGTTCCACATTACTGTAACCCACTACCAACTGGAGAAACCGCTGTAGAAGGACAGCTTGGTCAAATTAAACCAGAGGGAATTAATGGGCACCTGCTGTGCCCCGAACAATTTATGCTCATTAGATAGAGCATAATAATCTATACATTGTGCTAGCAGTTTTGCCTGCAAATGTATATATTAGGGGGAAAAAACTATTTAAAAAAAGGTTTTTCTCCCAGCTGTCAGTCAGTGCCTCAGTGCATGTGCTGTGGTTGCTATGGAAACTCCCTAGCCAGCATCCGCATGCTGGCAACTATGCCAGTGTGCCAGCGTCACTGACGAGAGTTGCCCTGCTTAAGGATGCGTCTCCAGGAGGATAAATCAAAGAAGATTGTGGTAGAAATGCAGTGAATTTTGTTACCTAATGACATAGCTATTAGCTAATCGACATAGTTACTGTATCTGTTGTGCTTAGGGTTATTCCCCTCTTGCAGGAATAGTATGACACCCACCTGTAGATGAATTTTATTGTACCGGTCCACCTACTATATTAACTTTAGAAAGTGCTACCACAATAAACAACCTATATTATTTCATAACATTAAAGGGTTTGTCAAGCACCATGACAACTTCAGGGATTTGAAGTGGTCATGGTACTGGGAATCTGTATATGAAGTTTTTCACTCTTGAACTCTGCATATACTTGATTAAAGCCCCTTGTTGCTTGAGGTTTAACTCAAACTCTGGCATCATTAGCCAACCCTAAATGAGTTCTCTGCTGGCTATTGATAATTCTTTGCATATTTGGTATCTATTGTTGGCACACGTAGGATGCTGATGGCAGGTAACCAATGGTGGCACACCTTTTCATGCCTCCCAAGTCCTCTCCTAAGTCCTAACTACATGAAGTCAGTCTCCCTGCGGTGAGGGGAATTGACATCACTGGAGGAGGATCAGGATGCAGCGAGAACTTGGCCTTGTCATGCGAGCTAAGATAAGTTTGTGCTTAAAGCTTTATTTTTTTAAACCATTTTTAGGGGGAAGATCATGCCAGTAAATGTTACTCTGACCAAAAACAGTGTTTCATTAAAACATTTTTGTTGTTGTTGGTGTAACCCATTTAAATTGTTTTGACCCTTGAATTAAAACATTGTTCTTGCAGATCTATATCTATGTATGTTTTATTAATTAATGTTATTGATTTAATTTGTTTCTTGTTTTTAGGGTGGAGGAGTTTCTGGACCAAGAGTAAGTGACATATTTGAAATGTTTCCTAATAAGTAAATAGAGAAAACTGTAGAAAGAATAGCCCTTGAGATAGTTTTGTTGCCATCTCTAAAACCAGCAGTATTTAAGTGTACTGAGATTTAAAATGTAATAAAACATATTTTTCTTCAGTGGTCTTACCATTGACGTAACCATATTATGGACGTGTTATCAAACTGAGATGTGAAAGGAAAGGGTAGCCTGCATTCAGCAGGGGTTCTCTCACCAAATCAAACATTTATTAGTTGCCACGTTAAACAAAAAAAATACAAGGATGACAAGGTACATTGCAGAACATTAAAATGCCTTGCTCACAGGACGTTATTACATGAAATCTGCATTAAAGGGGATTCAAACTTCACAGGAATTTTAATATTATATTTACAAAAACTCCAGATTTAGGAAATTTATGTTTGTAAGGATCTAA